TCAGATAATTATTTAATCGGCTCTGATTAAACAACAACTTCCGATTCGATGTGCAAAATGTAGCATCCATGCTAGCTCTGTAAATAAACAAGCCGGCTGTTAGACGTCACGTCTTTTACTGCGCATGCGTGTCACATCATTGCTGTGTAGTGTTCACACAGGGGTCTGATGCAGGTCACATTTAAAATGTAATGTGAACGTTCACACAAAGATCGGATTTTTTCAAAAAATCGGAACTGAGCATTAAGACCTGCAGTGTGAACGTAGCCAAAGACACAAACAACCATGCACACTCTGACACACCTAGAGTCACACAGAAGAGCTCCAAAAGTGATTCAAACTGAGAACTCTGGACTCAGATCCACCATCTGCTGCTGCACAGAGTTCTAATCACTTATTGTCAATAATAATTTACTATGATAAATTATTATTGATGATTATCACAAGGATTCCTTATTATTAAAATGTAATCAGGCAGTCAAATCACTTGTAATTTATTACTATAGTTGAAGGTGAGTTGTGTAAGACCCCTATGGAACCACTGCTCTCAACTTGTGTAAAAGTTTGGACACCTCTGGTGAACATCTCAACATATTTTGGAGGATTTTAATAAAGCCAGGAGTGTTTTAATGTTCAATCACTGATACAAATCCCAGTCATTAATCTTTGTCCTTAATGACTGTGAAACATAAATGATGCAAGATCAGCACAAGTTGTATGTCCCTTATGCCCAGAAAGCTCCAGCAAAAAGAATAAAACAGGCAGCATCTCAATGAGTTTGATAGGATTTAAGCAAGTGGAAGAAAATGGATGTACATTCTGATTGTTCTTGATTTAGATTTTTTTTTTTCCTGGAGTTTAAGCAGCTTGTGACGGACTTGTCTCATCTCTTATTGAAAATGATCTGAGGAGTGATTTATTGTCAGGTTTCCCTCTGATGGTTCTGTCCAGGATGAAAAAACAATCTACTTTTATCTCAGAAATACGGTAGTAATTATAGAGAAATTGCAAATCATTCGTCTAAGTGAAGAGTTTAACAAAACATTCTGATTTTCGGGTTGTGTTACTGTATTCATAAACACATAATGAAAGAAAAGCATTTTCTATATGATGTGAAAGGGGTTTCCCACACTGTCCGTCCCCTCTGTGGAAAACTTTAGTAAATGTTGTTTTGCATTTACGTATGTTTTACAGCCCACAGATTTACCCTTCCCTCTGACTGACTTATCTTTAGCCTACTTTCTGTTAAAGGAGGAAGCTGTTTTCAGAAATTACAAGAAAAAAAAAGACATGCCTCAACACACAATATTCCTCATGTTGTGCCACAGATGCTGTGAATGTAAAACAAAAATAAACTTTTGTTGCAGGTTTAGCAAATCAAAATGTAACCAAGAGGAATTTGTCTGCGACTTAGCAGTGCTTTCAGTGTTTTTTAGCAAATATCCTCTGAGGATGTAAAATAAAAACAGTTTGATGTAAACTTACTGTTTTACCGTTTCAGTGGTTTTGAGAACGCTCCGTCAGCTGTGCACAACTACGTCTATACTGACTGACCCCTCTCTGCTGCCTAAAGAAGCCGTCGAGGCCGTCACACCCACAGGTGACCCCAAAGTTGTCTGAACGTTTTTTTTAATGCATCAAACTTTAAGGAACAAAACATATCTATTGTTCCTGTAAGATGTACAGGAATATCGCCGTGTCTTCCATCAATCCACAAATTCTCAGAGAAATCAAGAAAAACTCTACATTGGACTGTTTTTTTATTTTTTTTTTTATTTTTTATTTTTCACTCTGAATGAAGCTTTCGTGCCTTTGTTTTGTTTTCTGTCKACCGACAGAAATAATGCAGTGACTACTTTCACCTTCTCCAGGTGACAATCTTCAAAATACTTAAGCTGATACTTTAGGTTTAAAAAGCACCAAAAATGTGTTCATTGTGGCTATGAAAAAATCTTCAAAGGGAAAWACTGAGTGAATGTTGTTTTCAGAATGAAAGCATTTTTTTTACCATGAGATACTCTTGGGAAAACTTTGTTTTTTAAACTTTGCGGAGATGAGAACTGTCGTTTTTTTAATGTGTTTATTGTTTTTAAAGACTCCAGATTAGCGTGTAGATGACCTGAGATAAAGCATGTAGCRTTAGAGTTTTGCTCCATTTCACATCCCTCATTGACTCAGGAAAATGTTAGATTACCTGTTAACACTACAGCTTATCTCATGGTTCCTCTGTTCATTTTGAACTTCTGCCTTTTGCACATTCTGCCTCTTTATTTTGATTRTTTTAAAACCTTTTTAAGGACAAACTACAACACTGTGCAGTCAGTCTTTAGTTTTTAACAGATCGACCTGATGGAGCAACACCGACAGTAAATCAGCGTTATTTACTTATTTACACATTATTGAGCTTTGCATAAAGTATTGCACCACTGTCTCTGCAGAAGAGGTCTTTTCTTTGATGATGACTCAGGGCTGCACTCGCATGCATTCATCTGAACAAATGAAGACTAGAAAGATAGCTGTCGKTCGGGATAAAGGCTCCTGGTTTACACAACAACAAAAGCCAAAGAGGAGTTGATTCATCACTATAGAGCATTAGAGATGTTTGATAGAGAACTCTGCATACTTTGTGAAGAAATTCAGGGTGAAAGACACAGATTGAGCTGTTAGACATCATTATGGTCAAAAGTRTCCTTACCTGTGGTTACTGCAGGCTGATTTTCCTTTGTTGCTCATCACTCCTCAGGCAGATTTTAAAAATTTTTTTGGCTTTTTTATTTTATTTTATTTTTTGAACTGTGAGTTTACAGAAGCAAAAGGCACAATTTTTATTTGATGTACGTGCCTCTTTTTGAGTGCATCTTTTTGTGTTTCATTGTGGTTCAAAAGGTTTGTTTTAATGAGACGTTTTGGCTTTTCTATGAGGGGGGAAATAAGCAGTAAATGATCTAGATTTTGCAATGTTAAAGCGTACAGTGGTGTTTTTATTATGATGCCAGTTGAATTTTGAAGTCCTGATGAAAACCACCTGGTTTGATGAGTTTCTCGTCCTCAACAGTCAATATTTCTTTTGTTGGAATCCAAAACTTCAATATTTTATTTAATATTATTTTCTAGGACATGACAATATTTCATAAATGTCGACCAAAGTTCTTATATTTCCTATTAGACCTGAAACTTAATGTTTAATTTTTTTAAAATCACTGATGTGATTTAGGATTTTAAAAGAGYCTTTAAACCCCAGAATAATGGGCGTTTCTGAAAAACAAAATGCACCTTTTTTATGTTTTTATCATTGCCTACAAAGGATTTTATTTTTTTTTCTCTTTGCAATGATTTTTGCTGWATGAAAAAGCAGCCATTTTTCTCACTTTAACTGGAGGTTTGTGTGAAGATGTTATTTTTTTCTCTCTCTGTCTTTCGGTCGTTTTTAAATTACAACATGTTCAATTTCCTCTTTTAGTTGAGTGTTTTACCTGTTTGATGTTGTACAGTTTATCGGTGCAGATAGGATCTGCATATGTTGTTTCTTCTCATATTTCTGTTACTTTCTGTGTGTTTTTCAGAGGAAAAAAAATCTATTTTCTTATGCTGTATGTATGAGTGTTCTGGGTTCTGAGATACATCTGCATACATGATTTAAAAAAGACTTTGAATCACAATAAACACAAGAAAACTCAGCATTTTCCACTATTTATTTTCAATAAATATTTGTAGTTTTTAAATAAATATTTAGTGCAAAAAAGTAATTTAAATAAAAAGAATTTATGGTTGTAAATAAATGACAACTTCAGAGCTTTGAGTTGGTCAGTGTTTTCTGCACCAGCTGCAGAAAACACTTGGCATGAATGTAAGTATCCAGGTCCTGCTCGAAGGCGGGCAGGCTGCAGTTTTTAGGGACGGTCTTGCACTGCATCMGGAGCTCCATGTCCTGCATAACCTGCGAGATCATCTCGAACTCCTGCGACAGCTCGGCCACGAGCTCTGAGAACTTCTGCATGTAGCAGCTGAAGGTGGAGATGGGAAAGATGAGAGGCTGCTGCTTCTCCGGCAGCAGGAGCTCCGTCATGTTCGGGGAACAGCTGATGTTGTTAGGAAGCAGTCCTGGAGCAGACTGGATGAGAAAATCACAGATATAAGAGTTTCCTTATTTGTGATTGTAATAAATTTAAGTGACATAAAAAATGCTTGGAGATACACTGCAAAAAATAGAAATTATTAAAAAAAACTAAGCAACCTTATATTTTAAGAATGTGGAGTTTTCTCAATGATTTGCCATCTCATTGTCCTATAATTTAATCATTGTTCCAATTAAACGTATTTACATTGTTTAATTCTCTCAAAGCTTAAATCTTAATTTTGCCTATTTGAATTTGWCTACTGACTGAATGGAGCCATTCACAAAACTACAAAAAGCTAGAATAGCAAGAAAAAATACATATACAATATATATATGTGTGTGTGTGTATATATATGTGTGTGTGTGTGTATGTATATGTTCTATTACCTATTTTTAAACTATACAAATCTCAGGCTTGTAAATATACATTTTATTTAAGTCAAGCAATTAATATATTTTGTTAAATAAAAAATTCATACTGTCCAAAAAAATTTAACTAAAATTGGTGACCTGATTTCTAATGCTCGACATCGGTCATAAATCATAATAAAAGTTATCAGTTGACTTCTAGACAAACTCTTTATCACATTTATTGCCTTGGGCTAAATCTGGTGCAATGCATCAAATTGTGTTTTAATTGCATAATGTCCCAAATAAATCATTCATTCATTCATTCATTTTGTGACCAATCAATTGTAATTTAAAAAAATGCTCAAATCAACTTTTATTTACCTTTTTTTTTAAAAAAAACTGTAAAATGTTATATTTTCTGCCTTTTATTTACCATTATTTCTCCAGGTATCTGGGACCTTCTTGCTGTGAGGCATCAGTGTTAACCACTGAGCCGTCGTGCTATGCTGATTGTGCCGTAAAAATAACTTTTATTAAACCCACCTTTTCAAGATAATTTTAGAACTGATGCTGARTGAAGTTTGGCTTAGTTAGTGTTAACTAAAACAGTTAATGAGTTTAACATTTATAGCTATATATATGTATTTATTTTGCCTTAAAAAGTAGCTTTGAAATCATTCAACCCTCATTTGTTTTTAAAATATGCATTCATTTTATTAAAAAAAACTTACAAGATGCTCCAGCGCGCTCTCAATCTCCTCCATGATAATTTTGATGGCGGAGTTCAAGGCCTTGTCTGTTGCGTTATTCCTGACAGGCTGGCAGGATGCTCGTGCAAAAAGCATGAACACCAAGATAAGACCTACAGAAATGATGAGAGCGAGCACGGAAGAGAGACCAGGTATTAGACCTGCATGCAGACGCACACTTGCAGTGAGAGGTCTGCTGATCTGCAGCCAGCATGGAAGAGCCTCATTTTCACAAGCAGAAAAGATTCTTACCAGCGCGGAAATCCATGACAGCAGGAGTCTTCGGTCCACAGCAAGGCACTGATGTGAAACTTTTCTCTCATCCATCTTTTAAACATCGCTTTTATTAGTGCATTTTGAGATAAAAATCAACACTTTCCTCTGCGTATGATTGTCACAGGAAAAGCTGCACTTGACTCAGTTTTTACTCTGGAGTTTTACAGAAACTGCACCCCCGTTCAATCAGATTAAATGCAAATTAACCAAATTTTTTCTGAAYGTTGCATTTAATTAAGAGTGTCTTATGACTTTCTGTCAGATAAAAGTCGAAACTTTGTAACACGTCTTGGATCTTTTTTTTAAACAGAGGAGGATTTTAAGTCCAACATTTCAACCACAAACCACAAAGCAGCCTACAAGTGTGAGTGTGTCAGCAGAAATGTGTTTTACTACATCTTGAAACATAGCTGTGTGGATCAAAACACTGGACCCAACAAGTCAAAACTGTTTTCTAAGGGGGCCAGGTGCTTTTAGAGCGTGGGATCGATAAGGATTCAGTTGTGWTTAGAAATATGGTTCAGGAGTTCAGAAGTGCAAATCTTTCTTGGCCGAAAGACTGAAAAAAGTTTCAAAGCTGAAACCGTTACTCAATGRAAGAATGACAAAGCAGAAGTTAAGCTTATATGATAAATATATTGCTCAAACGAAACGCAACTAAAAGTAGTTGAGATTAAGCTAGTTTCAGTTCAAAATGTTCAACAAYCTGAGCCAGAGGTCGCCAGTCTGCTGCGGGGGTCACAAACAAGACCCCACATGCTCACATGTACACCTATCAGTGTCACTGTTAGACCAGGGGAGGGCAATCCTGGTCCTCAAGGGCCGCGGCCCTGCATGTTTGACAATTTTCCATGCTCCAATTCAGTCACTGAATTACCTCTTCCAAGTTCTGCAGAAGCCCCGATGATCACCCATTCTTTCNGAGGACAACAGAGCTGCTTCATGGAAGAAGAACCTCAGCTTAGCTTGTTTTCTTTAGCATTAGCCCTGACGCTATCACCATATATGGATTAGCTCAGCGCTACACAATCTCCTCTCGTCACTGAGGTCATCCATCCACATGACAGAGAGGGGAACGCAAAAATGACTCAGCTGCAACTGAAAATATGGATGGAGGACCTCAGTTTAGCTTGTTTGTCATGCTAG